GTTGCCTTGTGAACCTGTGCTAATGAAGCTGTGCCAAGAGGCACTTCCTCAAAGCTCGAAAACAGTTCTTTAGGTGACTGTCCAAGATCGTCCTGTATTATTTGGTATACATCCTGTATTGTGCTCTGAGGAGCATTACTATGAAATACTTTCATTGTTTTGACATATTCATGAGGTAGTAAGAAATCCAATGCTCCAATGTATTGAGCTCCTTTAATGTATATGCCTCCATTTATACAGCATAAGTCTCTGAGCTTTGCCGCAGACCTCCAGTGAACCTAAAAATTGTCATCTAGGTCAATCAATTCAGCAGACACTTGGCCTTCTGAACTACACAGCTAACCAGACAGTAATTGCTGTTTAAGTAAATAAGTTAAACAAACTCTTTTCCATCTAAGTCAAACTTTTAGCCAGGCACTTTGTTGTCTTTGTTGTCTACGTCTACCAGTAAACCAGACACTTTGCCTGTATGTCTAACAGTAAACCAGACACTCGCCAAACAAGTTGTCTTAGTAAAATCATTTAGGTAGACACTTTTTAAAGTCTTTTTAAAATAACGTCTATAAGTCAATAAGTAAACCAGACATTGTCGYTGTCTGACTCAAATAGTAAACATTACCATCTAAGGCTATCAGCCGGCCAGACAATAAATGACCAATGCATTAATCATATATGGCTATTTTAACGTCCACAATGACTTTTGGTGGTGCAATATTGGCATTCCACTAGTACAATCTTTTTTTTTTGAAATAGCTATTATACACATTTTTCTGAAGATCATTTTTACACAACTATATGGACAGCAGTCTTTCTTAAGACTTCTCACACCTGGACTATCATCTCAGATTAAAATTATGTACATTTTTTAGATGTCACTGAAAAGTCACCCGTCCAAGCCGTCAACTAATCAATGACTTCTTCCTTCAATCAATAAATCAATCGACGATTGATCAATCAATCAATCACACATCATATGTCAGTCACCTATTACACTCATTCATTCATTTTATTTCCGAGTGTATCACCTTCTGCTTAAACATTAGTATCTTATAAGAACATACCTTAGACATAAGATTGCTATATTCTTCGCTTTTCCTATCKACTCCCCATAGCGTAGATTTGTAATCATAACTGATGCTTATTACCTATCACAGATCAAAGGTTAATCAATTTGTAAACAGTGAAATGATCTCACCGCTTCCTGGACTTTATCGATTTTTATAAAGCCGGCGCGATTTGAAATTTCTGTAGTCTATGTGTAGTCTATGATGGATCGATTAATAGTATTAGCACATCTAAATCTGATAGAAGACTTACAGTGAGAACTGCTCTTCCACAACGTACAATYGCATTTGAAGAAAACTTCGAGTTGTCTTTGAACTTTGGAGTATTAGATACGTAGATAGTTGTGGACGAAGCTAAAACAATCGCTGGACCAGCCAGACCTATCAAATTCCGTACACGATGCATGAATAAATAGATTCAATTTTAAAAGAAGCTATTAAAAAGGTCCACAATTTGACCTAAAACACAACAAGAAGAGAAGTTGTTATGTAATTGCTTGTCAGCGGTCGCTGGGTTGTTACGTACACCACAGGAAATCCATAAAGCAGGCGATCTCGACAAGAGATGTTAAAAGAGCTACAAAAATTCGTTCTCAGATATTTGTCCATTCGCTTATTAAAAAAGGACATTTGAAAAGTGAGCAGATAAAATCCATAACACTTACGAACCCCAAAACAACAGCGAAAAAAACCTAAATAATCTATATAGCATGTACAGCCATTTGATGGTGACGCTGAAAGTGTTTTTTTTTTAATTATTTGTGACGCATTTCTACTGAAAAGGAGTACAATTATCGCCGCAAAACAACACTTTGTTTGTTTTTGGTTTCTTGTCTGTGGATACAAGACCAACAGCATGTTTAACCAATCGGGTGCCATGTTATGTGCGCGCGATGTGATTGGTCGTCTAAAAATAGATTATCGGGGCATCTGATGMGATTATACTAGAGATGGACACTTTTGTATTTATGTATTTCTGGTATCATTCAGTAGTTTGTCAGTGTTATAATAACTTTATTTAGTTAAGGATCAATAATAACATTAATGTCTATTGAGTCTATTACATTGCTATCTTGTTCAATATTTATAGACTTTATAGTCCAAAGGTCCATAAGCCTTCTTTTGTGGAACTGGGGAGATAAGATATTTTGCTTAGAACGGATGAAGTTCCTGCATATATTGGTTTAAGATCACTTTTAATGCGACGAATGTCACGAAACGGAAACAAGCTCCGACTATGTCAAAACATTGCAGATCGGAAAATCCCGCAAAACGCATGCGCAATAGTGTAGACTCTATATACTTATTCTTCTGATGTTTCTTTAGATTTCGTACTGGAACTCGTTCCATCTTCCAGCTCCTCTTTAGGACCCGCGAATTTTCTAACCACGTCTTCGTCTTTCAAAGCCTTCAACACATATTTACACTTTTTGACGAACTCTTTGATATCTTGCTGCTCAAAAAACGCTGAAAAATCATTCCTCAACTCCAATCCGATTCCTTCGTTCATAACATTGAAATAAGAAAACGGGAAGCGCCAACGCATAGTTAATCGAGGGGAATATTCCCCGGAGAACCTCAACGATTTCAGAATTTCTAACGTTGAAAACAGCGGGGAAAAAGGGTTATACTATACTGAGTTATTTTACATAAATACAAGCAATTTATAATCATRGCTTTCGCATCTCAGCACAGAGAGCATCATTGCATTCCATCACGTACATATCACGCGATGATCAAAGTCCTATGCAAATAGGTCAGATATGTCAATACCGCTGCCTGCACACAATAACATGATCGCCGCACCATACCCTATATACTTATCACTCCAAGTGAATTCCACTTTTCTGATTAATATTATTTATCATCACTATAGCATGGCATCCTTGTAAAGCAGGATTTTTATTTTGTTTATTACTATATGTCCATATTTTATAGATGTAGATAGATTATGTAGCTTAAATATTTTTCTCTTAATTTTATTATTGTATTTTTTACCYGTAGGATTTACCGTGGATAAATAAAGTTATCATATCATATATCATACCTACGGCAATAACTCATCTAACCCCGGGGGTGGTACCCCTCCTCCCGTGGGGCAAAAACAACACACTCTGTTAGATTGGACACAAAGGTATTTCAACACGGTGTTGTAACAATGTCGAGCTTTAATGACTCATCGCTTCCATCCACTACCTCTGTAGCTATGGCCATTGGCAATTCATACACCATCGGTAACATGCTCAAAAACACCGAACAATTTAAAGATTGCCAGCAACCTTCTAAGAAAAGCCATCCCGTTTCTCTTTGGCGGAAAAAGCACCAACACTATTTCTATCTTGACGAATCTGTGTGAGTGTCTTCTATAAAAATATACGTTTTATAAATTTTATTACATACGGTACAATTATTTATTTATGTCATGTATTTACTAGAATGACTAACACAAACAAGATGGCGTTGACTCGGTTTTTATTCGCACGTGTTACACTTTACATGCGTGCGCATGTTACACAGGTAATCCGTAACATTTGATTTTATTTTCAATAAAAGCGGTTGTCACTTCCACGCCAAACAGCCATACCAGAGCGAGTTTGAAAAAATTCTATCGCTGGAACTGTTTTGCTCAACCAGCAACGAGACGACGAAGGAGGTCATCTTGCTGTTTAGAAAAGACAGACTACGAAGCCCTCCAAACGCAAAGAACTACCAACTACGCAGATTGAACAACAAAGATCTTCGGGCGTTTCATTTGGTTGCAATGAAACTAAATATCGCAAAATAAGTGATGATCGGTATGACTGATGACGACGAGCAAACCTATCCTGAAACTGCCTTTTACAAGCGGATCTTTAACATCATCAAAGGGTTCGACAAAAACAAACAATACTCGATCTGTCTAGTCAACATCGTTTGTGCGAGACTGTGCCCCTAGAGATGGACACTTTTGTACTTATGTATTTCTGGAATCATTCAGTAGTTTGTCCGTGTTTTGATAACTTTATTTAGTTTAGGATCAATAATAACATTAATGTCTATTGAGTCTATTACATTGCTATCTTGTTCAATATTTATAGTCCAAAGGTCCATAAGACTTCTTTTGTGGAACTGGGGAGATAAGATATTTTGCTTAGAACGTATGAAGTTTCTGAATATTGGTTTATAAGATCACTTTTAATGTGACGAATGTCACGAAACGGAAACAAGCTCCGACTATGTCATCGGAAAATCCCGCAAAATGGAAAACGCATGCGCAATAGTGTAGACTCTATACTTATTCTTCTGATGTTTCTTTAGATTTCGTACTGGAACTCGTTCCATCTTCCAGCTCCTCTGTAGGACCCGCGAATTTTCTAACCACGTCTTCGTCTTTCAAAGCCTTCAACACATATTTACACTTTTTGACGAACTCTTTGATAGCTTGCTGCTCAAAAAACGCTGAAAAATCATTCCTCAACTCCAATCCGATTCCTTCGTTCATAACATTGACTTTGGGTTCGCTTGACCCACTCCAAAAACCTCCGCTTGTCACTTTTTCGGCTACTTCTTTGTTGGGCTGATTCTCTTTAAGAGTGTACTTCAATGAGTGGAGAGAGTAGACTACGTCTAATTTTTCTCCTCTGCGAATAACGCCAACYCTTCCAAAAACCATTCTCCCTTTTTCTACAATGAACGATTTCCTATCAACAGCTGTAACGCTTCCGTCTTGGAGGAGTTTGGACATTTTGATGCGCTTTTTCAAGTCTTCTGGCATATTCGTTAGATCTGCAATAATATCGATCATGTTATCATAGTCCTCGTAGCGTAGTCCCTCGATGAGGTCACAGAAGTTTGCCTCTTCGTACTCGGAGAACCTCAACGAWTTCAGAATTTCTAACGCCCGTGTTGCGTTCCCAGTATTATCTTCGCTATTTTCACTTTCGTAATTAACTGCTTCTTTCTTGACTGCCCCGCTGCTTTCTGCCAAAATCGAAGTCCCGTGCGCTTGTGTTGGCATGAGACCGAAAACCAGCTTCGTTGTAGCGTTCAAACATTCCGCAATATCCATAGTCAAACATCKTTCKACCACATGGTTTAGTCTGGTCCAGCTCCCTTTTAAGTAATCGGTGCTCTTTGGAAATAAGTTTGCAATCACCAAMGTAACCAGCAAAGTGACTAGAAGAGTGCTAAAGATCACACGCTTCGACATTGTTTTCACTCAGGAAACACTAAAAATGAAATGCCTTTCAAGAGGTGCACCTGACCAGTTCTCGTTCACCTATATGAAAAACTGCTTACAAAACATAATTGCATGCAGGGCGCATGCGACATGAAATTTTTATGATTTCTTAGAATTGCTATTGTACTATGAACTAAAAGTGTAGAAATAAGAAAACAGGAAGCGCCAACGCACAGTTAATCGAGGGGAATATTCCCCTTGATTATAACTATGGTCAACGTGAYTATTGGACTTTACTTTTAAAAACAATTATCGGAAAACGCATAAACCTAGCTGTTCGTATGGATTTGGAGTGTGGAGTATTTCTTCCAAAGTATTCAATCAAGAACTTGGCTACATGGATCGCTTTGGTTTTTCGATCGATTCAATCGTTCTTCCCATCTCAGCTCTCGATTATATGACGGGCTACTACAGGTGAATTAATTAAGATTTGCCGCGAAAATTTAAATYTATACCAAATCGGTAGCTAATCATTTGAATTTATCCTAATCTTCAAAATTTAGAGCTTTAATTGTGTTCTCAACTTTCTCTGTGTTTGCCTCCATTGGTCAAAAGACATGAAGCGCGCCTCCCGAATAGCTCGTTTTCAATGCATTATTGGATTTTTCATTTTATTTTTCGTTTTCAAACTTCAGTTGATTAATGCAAAATCGAACTCTGATAATGACAGAAAACAACACAGCATTTCCACCTTTTTGAGACTGTCATTCCTTTCTCACGAGAAGGAACAGATCCAACCAAATTGTAACAGACGGCATATTGCAATACATCGACTTTTTCKAAATTACAAAAGACCAGCATGTTTACAACGGAAATACGAGAAGGCTTTATGAAAATCCGATCAATAATCTAAGTTTAAATTCAATTTGATTTCAAAAATGTAATGTTGAATCGACTGTAAGAATCGAATAATGAATTGAAATGGTGTTTTTACGGGGCGCGCTTCATGTCTTCTGACTTGTGCTCGTGTCAGCCCTCTTGACATCATCCTTGCACGATTATATATCTCAAAAATTCAAAACCAGTTTCAGTATTTTAGTTTGAACGATTATTATTATTTTCTGTCCTTGTCGATTCGAGGTCCGAAAATTAATCACAAAAATATACATTATATTACATTGTATTTATCTTGTATCGATCGACCCACGATCTGCACTCCACGTTCAGTTCCACGATTCAAAATTTTAAAAATGATCCTTCTTGTCTAGGCCCGTTCACTGTATGGGAATTTTTTAGATCAATATTTGTTTCGCTTTTGACAAACAAAAAGCTTTCTTTGGGGTCAAGGAATTACTTCATGTCCAAAAAAGATTTTTTCCTGTTCATGATACAAACAGATTGGAATTTACACTGTTTGCATGAAGAGGCCGGTTCTCGAGTTCACTGGCAGCCTATTCCTTTAAATTATTCAATGACCTTTTAGGGGTCATTTTCAAAATTTCCGACGAGGACCCCCGCCCTATTTTGTTAGGGAGACCCACTCGGGACCTTGACTCTCTGAGAACGTTGCCAATAATGCAGATTTTTCCTTATTCAAATTTTATTATTTAACTCCTTTAGACTTCGCTTGAGTGACAGTAAGTTTTGCACATTYACAGCACATTATTTATAGCACAACATTTTATTCATATAATATGCTCCAGAACTCCTTGCCTTATCAAGTGTTCACAATGGGATCTTGGCAGAAAATGCTGTAAACAAAGGGAAAAAAGAAGTAAATGGATTGAAGATTCCTTTACTAAAACAGTTTGACAACTAAGTCCAYAGAAAACCTCCTACTGTTTCAACACTAGTCGACCTTTGTTGAGATTAGATAATATCTTTTTATTGACTAATATTTCTAAGAAACAGTTGGAGTTATGAAATTTAAGAGTTTTACCTGTAGGGGCAGGGTATTTGATGCAAAGCATAATGAAGAAAAAATGGAGAGTGGTGAAAAAGAAGTCTGTCCCATTCAGAAGGACTGAGCTTAACTTAACTATTAACACAAAAAGCATGAAAAACAATAGAAATTAAATAGTTAATTGTATTTTTTAATGAAATTAAGTCCTATTTGTTTGTTTCCTGTTGTCTAATCTACATTATATTGTGCTGTTTGTCACAAGTTAGTTTGTTTTCATGCTTTAGTGTTTTCACTCTCTACAGCTTTTTTTCATTTACACACCTGACTATTTTTCTTTAGCAAGACAACAGTTCCATCATCAGCCTCAAATTCACCATAATCTTCAACACAGCGAACCTGAGCATAAATAGAATTGATTTTGAAACATTTAGCATTGTTTTTCTTTAAATCAAACATTTTGTCAGTCAACAAATCATTTTATTTATTTATTTATTTCAATTCTTTCACCAACAGAACACGAGGGAAACACAATAGTACTTGTCTCCAAAATAAGTACAACTACAGAGAACTAAGCAATTRACCACACAACAGGGAATTTGAGGGACAGACCCAGAAATTTCCCTAAAGGGTGAGGGGGATTTACTGATTCATATATATTTTAAAAACACTAACAATATTTTTCCTAGCGGGAACTTCTCAGGATCGAGATTCCCAAAACTGTGACGTATGTAAAAAAACAACAACAAAGAAACAATAGCCTGTGTACATCCGTTTCTCACCCCTCCAAAAAAATCGGGGAGAGAACGTCTGTGATTTGCCGTTGCTAATCGTGTTCTGAGGTCCTCAAGATCTGGAGGACGAATTTCATTGGCCGTTGACTTATGAGACTTGTGATTGGCCAAAATCAATAGATGGCGTGTAAAGTTGGTCGCACGAAGCCTTCATGGTAAACCACTGGAACATGTAGAATGCCTCAAATTGAATATGTTATTTGCTCTCAAATTCTCTGTAAAAGTTTAGGCTTTAATCTTATATTCGGTTGGGTAAATTTAAAATTGATGTGGAATTATAATGTCATTAGAATTCGCCGCCAATCTTCACGAACAAAACTTGCATTTGTCAGAAGTGCTAAAGAAGAGAAGGGGGCTTAGTAGTTTGTATTCTACATCTCATAATAGCCTGCGAAAGCGCCAGAGTTACAGCTTCAAAACTGCCGAGGACGTAATCTTCACAAGAAGATATTTAGTACGGTTGATGGAACGCAAATTACAGGAAAACCACATTCTCATTCTGACGAGACACCTACTACCGAAGATAGAGAGAGCACGGCAGAGACAATAATGTAAACCACGGTCGAAGAATCTCTTGGCATTATGTTCGAATTATTATGTTGTGGAACGGTCCATTGTTTACTTGACCTTTTAACGTGCCTGCTCAAGCTCTAACGTGCATGTCACATTATATATGCAAATTTAGGTCAGAACACGATTAGCAACGGCAAATCACAGACGTTCTCTCCCCGATTTTTTTGGAGGGGTGAGAAACGGATGTACGCAGGCTAAGAAACAAAAACCCTGCAATAAAGATGCGCTAATAAAAAGTTCTAATTTTAATTAAAAATGTCTAAGTTTAAGTTTAAGTGTTTGTGGGCTCATTTGTGTGGTTTTAGCAATGTTGTTTGTCTGTGTGGTAAAGATTTTTGATTAAAAATGTACAGTTTTATTTTGAATTAGAAAGAGAAAAATCCTTGTAACATTACAATACGAAATCTAGAGCACTGGACTTTGTGGAAATTCCCCCTTTTCCCCTCCCTGGAATTTGCCCCTGAACTCCATGCTTTACTCTATGTCAAATAGCGTGTTTTTTAACTCAATCTATAGCATAGAGGATATGGGACATCAAACTTACCTCAATATACAGCGACTTGGGTGGTTTTGTGTCCTATATATTCAAAAAAGAAAAAAAAAATCTTTGGAAGTTGAATATAAAAAACTGTAAATTRTATAAATCAGGATCTTGTTAACAGCCCCTGTTAGTATAACTCTATTCTCTACCAACCTGAGTAAGGTCAAGACCAACAGATTTCATGTAGTTGGCAAGTGATTTATTATATTTTGTGAACCATTGAATCTATCAAAGATACAAGATGATCAATAKCAGAAATATAGTGTATTGTTACTATATAACACTATCATACCAGTCCTGACAAAATTGATACATTATATTATGTTATTACATCACGATCCAGTGCCTCGAGGTATGTAAACTAGCCTGTGACACAGACTTGTTTGTATCTTGCGAGGTATGGGATTGTGATGTAATACCACAGGTAACCCACACTTCTCTAAGAGCGTGCCTCGAAAAAATAAAATTGTACAAAGCTTGTTCTTTTCTTCTCAAGAAATAGTTGGGCAGCCTATGGATTGCCTGAGTAGTGCATGCTGTCCTAATCAGAAAGCCAGGGGAGCACAGGAGATTGGGGCAAGTGAAGAGGAATAAAATCCCGTGTGGTTTCTGACAATGCATGTGCAGCACTTCTGTGATTCTTTAGTGTGTACACTACATGAAAAAACTACCTCTTGTTCACACATGTTGTATTTGACATCTTCAGGTAACACTGTCCCAAATTCCCAACGGAAATTCTTTATCCTGACCATTCTATTATACCTTCGAAATAATCACAATTTATTAACCCAATGACTTTTTCACAAATTGATCATAAAATTATTATCATTCAATAGTGTTTTTATAATATTGATGATGATGATAATTATGATGATGAAAATGATGATGATGGTAATGATAATGATAATGATGATGATGGCTTACTGATGGTGACAAAATAATTGTTTTGCGCACTGCACTTACAGATAAACAAGTAAACATCTTTTGTCTCTCTCTAGACTTGCATGTCTAAGATGSACACCAGAAAACAGACCAGATTCGCCGTCCACTGTGGCATTACTACAAAAGATTGACAAATGAACGCATGCGACTTGTAATTTTTGGATTTTGTTAAAAATCCCAGACGTTTTGCTATACTCACACTTCTTTTTGATTCTGCTCAAATAAAGCCTTCATTTCTTCCAACACTTGTCGAACAACATCTTCCTAAAGTCAAATATCGAACCAAAATATTGATGAAATTTTGTGAATAATTTTTCCCGCCAAAAAAATGTTATAGGAATCTTACGTTGTACGGTGGCAGACCGCTATCGATTGTTCTTTTAAGCTCCTTGACAAGCTCCAAAGCTCTGTCTCCAAACATTTTTAACTAGTAACTGTTAATCAATATASCATATTTTAGAATTATCTTAGAGTCTGTAGGTCGTAACTGCATCGGCCGCCATTTGCGATTTTTCTGTTTTGAGGCCTGGATGCCAAGCCGTCCTACAACAGGAAGCCCAATCAGTCATTTACGAGATTTTCACTTAATTATTTGACGGCTTTGCTGCTTTGGTTTGAATAAGACAATCAGCTAGAAAATTGAATTTCTAGGAGTTTCTATTTCTGGCTATTATTGTATTTTTAGGTAAGGAAACTTGGAAATCGCGCAAAGTCGCCCCAGTCTCTTCAGCTAGTTCACGTGGTTCGTTTTCAAGATGGCGGACGAGGAGGAAAGTTTTTGTACCGGAGTTGTTTCTCTTTGTTTTTAACCTCAAGACCATCCTCGACGAAACATTAAAATGACTGGAATTAAAGATGATATCATCCTACGAAGGCTTGAGAAGTTTAAAGAGGAAGGGCCAAAAAAGTGGCACAAAATTTACACAATTCTGGCTGAGATTATCAAGTAAGTTTTCGCAAATGAACATGAACATGTTTCATTCGAAAGTTTATCGTTTAACCATGTCTCAGCTGTCATGTAGTATGAAAGAGATGATTTGGAATGGGTAAGGAAGTCTCATTCCAAAGAAAGAACATTAGAATACTTAGTAATTGGAAAAGCTTATGATATATATTTTAAGCTAATAAGGTCTAAGATTACTTTTAGCTGCTTACTGTAACTTAAGCATTTTTTGTTGAAATAGTGAAAATGTTCAGAAGAAAAGATGGATTTTACTGGACCAATTACATGTTGAAGTGTCAAGTTTAAGCAAAGAAAATACACAAGAAAATGCTACAAAATGCATTCAGGAGTTTGTAGAGTTGATGTTTCAGTTCTACTTCACTCACATTATGTGTGCAAGGACAAATCAAAGAGTTGCTAAAGTAAGCTATGTTTCAATAGTCTCATTCATAATGCTTTGAACCATCTTGAAAGTTAGCTGTTGTCTGTCATTGATAATCATAATGATAATGATGATGATGACAATGATGTCTTTACTGATTTGTAAAAATACATTCTAATGATTGAACAATATATGGAATTTAAAATCAGTACTTTGGTACATTAAATCATTATTCATTCTTTTTAGGTTGTTCAAGTCTTGTATTATGATCATAATAAGTTTTTGAAGTCAACACTCTCCAARCAAATCGATGTAATTTTAGATGTGGAATCCAATAAAGAGTCAGTGCTACAGAAAAGTGAGTCTAGTTGTATTTAAGTAATTTAGCTAAACTAGCTAAACTCTTTTAGATTTATAGAAATCTTGCTTTCCATTATCCTGTGAGTCAGTGTGCTGTGGCAACACTTTGGTCTGTTGTTAGCCATTTCAACATCGTCCATTCCTGGACAGTGGCCAGTTAGGACAGTCCACAAGTGTGGKTCTTCTCAGGATAGCCTGCATGYAGGCATTCCTCGTTAGGAGACGAGTGAACTCTTATGATGATAAAATAACATGTCATTTTACTGCATTTCATTAGTAATTATTTGATAAACTTTTTTTTATTTTCAGTATTCATTCTTGTTGACAGCTGGACTCTTGGAAGAAGTTGTATAGAAGATCAACTAGAAACAAAATGGCTTCAATTAATGGCTGGTTGGTCTAGTAAAATGCTGACAAAGGTGCAATTTTAGAATAATGTCATATTACACTGTACATGTATGTCATTGTTCATGCCAAAGCTAGATGTCCAATTTGCCTAGTAATTAATTTTGTATATTAACTATTTTATCAAGGTAGAGGAGTCACAACGCACCAATGTTTTCAACTTCCAAGACAGTCTTCTGCTTGTTATTAAGGTATCCAATTGATAGATTATTCAATATTCATACAATTCAAAATGTAATGTCAATTAGTTCTGTTTAAATTCACTTAAATTTACTTCATAATTATCAAGTGGTCTGTTCAATATCTGGCATACATTACCATATCAGTGAACATTTCAGTTCTTCATAAATCACATAAATTCTTCATAAATATTCATAGTATTCTGGTATTGTTATTCTTTTTAGATTTCACTCCAGATGTTTCAGCATTTCCCTGTAAAGTTACAGATGATTACACAAGAGCACAATCCAAGTGCTGATCAAACTAGGCAAAACATGAAGACCATAGTATCATTGATAATAGCAGTCTTGTTTTCAAAGGTATGATTTTATTGTAATGCTTATTTTTAGGCCCACCTAGACACAATGTGTGTGACATTTTCAAGAGGCTCCAAGGGATTAATGAAAGTAGAAACTGAGCCATGTTGTTGTTTTTCCTTCTTGTTTCAGCCTTTTTTTCAAACAATTCAAACAACAATCATTAGTTGTTTGTCTCGTGGCAGGTCATTTAAAAAATTGTAATGTATATAGGCATCTCCTTAAGCTCTTCCAAAGGATTCTCAAAATTTCACAATTCTGTTCACTCCATAAATTTTAATAGGAATTAAGCCATTTTGATACTTTTATCAGTACCATGATGCATTTCTCTGACACAAACGTGACAACATTAGGCTTGTCAATCATTGTGTTATTGCGACATAATTAAACCAGGCATGCATTTATCCTGTCAATGATAAACTAAAATTATGCATTTGGCTGTACAGACTTCTGGACACTGTCCCAAATGTGATTCTGTTGATCCAAGTATGATTCTTCAATTGCATTCTGTTCATAAAATGATTAATAAAATGGACTACTTGTAAAAAATTCAGACAATTAATTGTATTATATTGTTATTTACCTGCTCTGACAATTCATTGTCTTTTTTGTTACAGCATTTGCCCAAAGAGTGCTTGCTGTTRTCTGGGACATGTTTAAGTCTTTTTCTTAACATTGAAACCAATAAAAGTCAAATCATCTATGTTATTTCCCAGCTTCTTCAGTGTACAGGTTCGTAAGTCAGTATGTTGTTGCATTTYAGCTTTGGAAGCACTTGCAATAATCATCTTCTTCATGGTTCCCTGCGTCATCTTGAAGCCTTGATTCTTCATTGAAGCGAGATGACTGTTGAGTGTGCAATGATAGAAACCTTCTTTATACCTTCAGACAATTATTCACAGGTATCAATCATTGCACGCTCAACAGTTGTCATGCTCCATTGCAAATAAAAGGCAAGGCTACCTTTCAAGATTGTGCAGGAAACCGTGAAGAAAGACAATTGATTTGTTTGATTATTAGTTCTAGAATGATTTAAATAACCATTTCCTGCCTATATTTAGGTATGGAGTCCATATCAAGTRCTGTCCAAGCAGAGACCGTGAGARCTGCMATCAGTGGTGTTGACGTAATCTTACCATCTCCCAGTAGACAGCCAACAACTTTGATTGCACTTCTACAAGGATTCATCTCATCAAGTAGAAAGGATGTCATCTTACATCACAATTTAGAGGTACTATGAATGACAAAAATGATTAAAAAATAATGTTTAGCGAGAGAGAGAAAAAAGGCAAAGTTTAGTCAAGATAAGTCTGTGAAAACAGGAGTAATTTTAGTCAGTTCTGAAGTCTTATTTAAACAGAGATTGATGGGAAGGATTTAATAAGCTTGCATTGCATCAAGGGAAGGCTGAAYTTACAATACTCCAATTTCGAGTTCTGGTTTGCTCTGTGTTAGCCTCAAAACCAWGTAACATATTCTTTTGTTYCATTGATAGCTYGAGAAAACGCATGGAATTTTGTGAAGAAAGACAATARAWTTGATTTRAAATCTCACACTTTTATKCTCACAATWAGRAATMTTTTGCGCACARATGAGGCTAACACAGAGCATTGGAGAATTCGAAACTGGAGTATTCCTTTAATTGTATCCAAAACCTCATGTAACCAGGTTTGGAGGCAATCATAATCTAATGTATTTTATTATTACAGGGGAGATCATTTCTAACAACTGTTCTCTTTGCTACAATTTGTCAACTTTGTAAGACTGAAGGCTCACCAATCGTGCATTATCTCTCATATGAAGGTAAGTGTCAAATTTATCTTTTCTTTTTTTGTTGTTGTTGTTTCTTACTATTGTATTTGATTACTTTATTTTTAGTTGCAAAGAGCTGGATGCAACGTGTTAAAAGTCTTCTAAGTGATATTCACCAAATTGGCAATTCAATGCTATTTAGTATAGAATCCTTTCATACAAATAATGTRCTGGACTTGGTTTGGGACAGTATGGAAGATCCGGTAAATATGTAAATTTGTTTCAAGCTTGGTTAACATGTTGTGCTATTGTTGTACCCAATAAAATAGTTTGAGTTAACAACAGTCGACATAATGCACAGTAAAAGTCCAACGCTAACGTCGTGCCGAACTTAGCATACAAATATTTTTTTACTTCAATAATCAGTAGAAGATGTACATGTAGTTTCATGTTATCGGACCTTTTCTTATTCTTTTGACTCTATTTGGATCGACAAATGAATCAATGCTGCAGTATTTTGTATTTAGGTCCATATAAATTGGTTTGGCATGCCGATAGCATGAGGTATAAACTGAGCTAAAGAAATTGATATCTCTATGGAGTAAGAGAAAACTGAAAAAGCTCGGAATGAATGGGTGAATCAGGATGAATGGGAGGATTTATGGAAGAATATGAAAATATCAAATGAAGGTCATTACTACAAGGCGAGGGCCTTGCAGTTTAGGACCAGATAGATACAAATCATTCCTCGCAAACTTCAGACAAAAGACATTCATCTTATCGTGCCTCGTACTGTTTTTGTGCATAGGTTGACGGTGTTTCTACATCTGGAAGGACCATCTTTGGTCATCTTTTGGAAGYACATCAAGAAGAAGAGCTCATCATTCAAGACAAGAAGACAATGGTATGGACGTGTTCTTTTGTATCTATACTATTCACGTTCATCTGAAAGCAAAAAAATAAACAGTTCTAAATTATGCATTCTAATATAAAGTTGTGTTTTGTTTTTACGCTGGATGAAAACACGAGCAGCAGACGACTTTATTTGTTTGTTTTTTTAGAGTGACACATTCTATGGCTCTCTTCTCAATAAATTGCTCGCGATACCATGGCAAGTAAAGGTTAAATATGGTCTGCTTTGTGAAATTCTACCTTACATTGAAATGACAGAGGTACGTCAAAACTAGCTAGTGCTATAGGGAGGCAATGCGAACCAAAACAGGGTCATTCTAAACCAGGGACGTGGGAAGAAATGGACTGGCAACTGAATATATTAAAGGCGAATGTCGCACTCTGATTGGCTACGATCTTCCATAATCATTGCAAATTTTGGCAGGCGCGTAGCGTCCTTTACGCATGTACGCATGTGCTTACTCTTGGCAAGGAAACATTAAAATTTTCACAAAAACTGAAAAATTCAAATAAAAAATGATGTCTTAGTAATATGCCTTTGATGTCTCTCAAAACGCTGGAAATCGCATTTCCAAAAGTTATTAGCTCAAATTGGCGGTCGTTAGATCCANTGTAATGAATAAAAAGAAGTCTGCGGCATTATGGATAGCCTTAGAGTACGTACCCTTGTGAATTTGTCGTATTTTGCTAGATATTGGACAAGAACCACGGCCTACTCCAAGAAATGGCTGAGTGTTTGAAATCCAATCAGTTGTCGTCTGCCTGTACAGAGGTCTTCAAAGCATTTTTACTCAAATCCAGACAAGGACAACATGATTCAGTAAGAACTTATTCTTCTTTTCAAACAGTTATTCGTCCCTTACGTTAGTATTATGTGTTTATTTACCAACAGTTTTGTCATCTTTCGTAGTTTCAGAATAATTGGATTGCAGTACTTCTCAAGTCGTTAACAAGCGAGAATCGGTGAGTATCACGTGACATGGTGGCTCTAGGGGCGGGGGGCGGGTAGGGGGAGAGGAGGACGGTTCTGCGAACAATTGCGTCATGACAAAACTTTAGCCAGTGCAACCACCTTAACAGTTTGATGATGCAATGCAAAAAAAGTTATGTCTTGAAAAAGTTATATCGTTTCGTATTTACAGATTACTAGCTCAACATACCCGTCAATACTGGCTTCCATGCGCGCTTAAATGTGTACCTCATGTCCTCGATACTCTGTTGAATCAACTATCTGGTAACCATAACAATAGTTGCCATGTCAACCAGATGCTTTCTGCCAAGCTTGCTATTATTAAAGTTGCACGTTCTTTGGGTATATTGGATTCGACGCAGTTGGTAAGCTTATGATCAAGTGTGTTTCGGTAATGATCGTTTTCAACCATTCGACAAATTGGTTAATCTGTTTTCGTAAATCTGTTTTCGTAGAAAAATAGAACCTTCGTACTTTAGTTATAGGGATATAGTAAGAAGACTGATGATTTGGCTTAATTCTTGCTATTGTATTTTTGGTAATGTTTTCCTTTTTAATGAAATACAAATGTTTGGCGTTTTTGAAATTAGACTTATTTAGATAACACTTTCAAGGACTGAATAGTCTTTCAATGTTAAAACATTTATCCCCAGACGATAGTTCTTCATAACATACCTATTCCCAGCCAATAATTTTTCATATCATGATCATCCCCAGCCAATAATTCTTTATATCATACCCATTACCAGCCAATAATTCTTCATATCATGTCATTTCCCAGCCACTAATTCTTCATATCACAATCATTCACAGCCAATAATTCTTCCTTTCAATATCATCCGCATCCAATAGTAATGTAATGTTGTTCTATTTCTTTTACAGGATGAAGTCGTCCTAAGGCAAGCATTACAACACCAAGAGGACACTTTACGTCTAGAGGCTCTAGGTGTACTTTGCTGTGACGTTAAGACATCAAGTAAGTACATGTAAACAGCAACACAGGCAGCCCAAGCTTATATTTTGATGAGATGACTTCGTAATCATAGACCATATGAAAAAGGACAGGCTTATCGTATCGCCATATATTATGAGTTGTACAAAATAGCATATTTACTACTCGCTGGAAGAGCATATTATAATGAATAAGATCTAAAAGTTTCATTTCTCAGAAATAACAGGTGTTTGAAATTGGAAACGTTTGAGTGAAAATCAGTATTGAGGCCTCACCAGCCTCGTTTTCACGTTTTTCGCACCTTTGAAATGCTCGTAGCTCTGTCGATATTCAACATTAGAAAGATAAAAGTCTTCCAGTGTACTAGTTAAGATAAACTGTTTCTAAAGTGTAAACAGATTTTTAAAAATCTGGATCGTTTAAGGAGCCCATTCCCAGTCTTTTTTGATATGKTCAATCTGTAAACAAATAAAAAATTACAAAATACATCCCTCGAACTTTGAAATCTAAGATTAATTAAAACAATAGAGAGTTGATTCACGTTTACTGCAAACGCCAAACGTCAAATTGGCTTTTATGTTTTGTCTCAAAATTTCATTAAAACGAAAAAACGCTTCGAAAGGAATAGTGATGCTCTTATGTACGAAAAAGTGATCTATTTTATACACAATCGCGGAAGAACGGAGCGTTAATACAGAAAAACAGTGATCACGTGATCAATTTTGACGTTTGGCGTTCGCCGTAAACGCGTATCTAAAACTCTCTAATATCAAAGTATAAAANAGTAGGTTAGTTTACCCCTGAAACGTTTCTATGCATACAACAATATAGATGTGTGACTGACTGTAAAGTTGTTTTTCCACGCTACTATAACGGCCGCCATGCTGAATTGAAAGTTTTAAGCTGTCTGCCATGCAGTCCTCATGGGTGTAAACTCTGCGTGGGCAATAATGACGGGTTAGAATTCAAGAAGACGGTCATATCGCTAAAATTTCCTTTGTTTTGCTAACTTTATTTCTTATATATTTACAGTTTATTTAGTTTGAAAAAGAGTTACCCTAAGATTTTTAAAAAGCCCGAAGTTCAAGAATGGGATGCTCGTCTGCTGACTATTTCGTCAGACATCCAGCTRTCCCTAGGTAAGAATTAATTTAATGCTTGAACTTGACTACACTGGACGATTGACCAATAACCGATTTTTGCTTTATACGTCACGTGACTATTAAAAGGCACAAGGAAAGTGCGACGTCTCATTGCAGGCCGGATCAATCATCCTCAAAAATCTAACTTGAACCATTTTCTTCAAAAAGCTTTACTTTTTAGAAAAAATACGGCTATGTTTTTGTCAAGGACCTAAGATTTTTTTTTTGCAAGCGAAAGCATTTCTGTTTGTGTTTTGACAGTTATCAGAAGTACATTCATTAGTGAATATTCTTCATTTCAGAGTTTGTTAACTGGGTTTTTATGCTGATGTGTAATTCTCTTTTGCCTGGAGCTAATTATCAGAGACAAAAAACAGGTTTGACGAGTTCCAACAATATTATTAACCGGTTCAAAACAAGCTTGAAAAAAAGTTTGTCAAAACAATAACGAAAACTGAAGGAACACGATTATCGGTAACTGCAGCAACGTATACATGGATGAAGACGACAACAACAACAGCAGCAATAGTAATTACATGGATAACACAACAACAAAACAGCAACAAGCTCGAACACTTATAAAAACAACAATGACGCGAACGATTTTTCTAACAATATCAAAAAAATATAGCATTGTTATTACGTCGATTGTTCATAAATATAGAACTGCAGCAGAGACTGAATATGAATGGTTAAATACAGAGCGCTCTTTTCTTGTTTTGCAGCTGTTGAKTTTATTTCTCTTATATTTGAAACGTTTTCCGTCAGTGACAATCCTGACAAGAGAAAGGGGCAGGCTCCCGGTAGGTCTTATTTGCATYTTCATTTGACTGACTTCGTCGCATAAATGGGTGTTTGTGATGTCGGAGTCAGTTTCTTACTCGATGTTCTACGCTTTTAGAGTTTTCAGTCTAGTACTTTTTGACGCTTGTAGTGCTTGCAGTCTAATAAGTCTGCTATTAAGGAGTTATTTCATGTTGTTTGCAGAATCTTGTAGAATCCTTATGAAGCTGGCAGAGCAAAAGCGATTGTGGGACTTTTATTCTTCAAGGTGAACCTGTTTTCATAWTTTCTCCTGTGCTCTTTGATCATATGCATGCATTTTGTGAAGAAGAAACATTACCTTTTTTTGTGTTTTCAGGACTGTTCATATATTATTAGGATGTCTTCAAAGCTCTCATTCAGATGTAAGACTATAGGTTTAGAGTGCTTAGTATAGTTTCCTTTTGTGAATGTAATAGATTAAAGAACCTTTGCTTCTTTGAAATTTACCAGTGTCCCATGAACCACTTCGGTCTTAGCTTACGCATCGAGAAATGGAAACATGCCTTCAATAGATCTTTTGCATAAAACGGTCGCAAGGCACAAAATCCGGCATACTGGATGGCAAAATACCCACGGGGATGTTCAAAACAAAGAAAAGTCAAGTTTCATGGTCTGCGTTCCTTTTGTTTTTGACGACATAAGTTGTGTTTAGCCTCCTCCCCAAGCAACTCATTTTTTCCTCCTTTGGCCTTTCTCTCAACTGGTCCCCATTCTCTCTCTTAGTTTAACTCCCAAAAAAGACAGGTAGCCCGTGATTCATAGTGATGCTTGCGGAATAGGCTAAGTTGTATTTATGTTTTTTTCTTCAGATTCGTGAGCTGGCTCGTGATATTCTACGTAAAAAGTTTCCCACGCCATTCAAAGCTCGAGATGAGACGATTAGTGATACAGAATTTGCCGTCGAGCTGATGAAAGAAGCGAGGGCGTTGATTTGCAGTGCAAAAGCACAGGAGTGCGAAAGTGGAAGCATTTTGTGTGAACTTCTGTTTGAAAGGTATTTAGTCTACTCAGTGGCGCTTTCTAATGTCGAAATTTCCACGCACTGGAAATGTCCCGCGCAATCCCTATTAAAACTTCCGGGAAAACGGAAATTCGTCAAGTGGTGGTCCACTTTTCCCGCCTTTTTCGGTGTAACCGGGTTGACGCGCGTATCATTTGCATTTCCCGCCCTTTTTTTGAAAAGGGTTAAAAATTTATTCAGTATATGAAATTATTTCCTTTTTATGTCCTAGTCGATATTTTGATATCGATATGAAGAAAGATGTTTCCGTTAAGGCTTTGTGCTTTACTGCACGTTTCCACATATATTTATAAGCAACCATTTCTTTTCTATTTTCTCTTTAGTTATGCTGTTAAACTAAGATGGCGTTTTATTGATATCTTTGGAGATGTTACCGTTGAACATTTAAGCAAAAACAATGCCTCAAATGATGACGGGGGTGTTAAGTTRCTCATCGAGCTGGTTGGAGAAGCTGAACGACAGTTTAAAGTTGCAAAGAAAGATTTGAGCGTAGCAGCTGAAGAGTGTCCCATCCATGGTATGTTGTTTAAATCAAGTATGAAATAAAAAAACGAAATAAAACGGAACGAAGTGCTCGAAAGCAACGAAAGAACATGAAACGCAATGATACGAAGCGAAATTAAGCGAAACAAAATCAAAAAAGCAAAATAGTTTAGTGGGGTAATGAACTCTAGCCTTCAAGCTCGTGCTGCATCTCTGGGAACACATGAATTCAAAGCTATCAGTAACACTAACTTTTAGTTGAAATATTGCGATTATGTAAACTTAGAACGGGATTTCACACGTGTTTTGAACGCATGAATATTTGGCCTTCAAAACCGTACTACACAAATCGACTTCTCAGTCATTCGCCACAGTGAATCCCTCCAAGCTTTGATGTGTCAGTCAACACGCAGTGTGTATTACTGTATAAATGTTTAGTTCATTTTCATTTTTTTCAGGTATTCTTCTAACTCTTTGTCGATGCATCATATCGTATCTTGATGTAACTAGCGATTCAATACCTGAGTTTGGTTCAGTTATCCAGAAAACTGTCAGCATTGTTTTAGATGTGGTTGACTATCTACTTGGCGTGCTCTCGAAAAAACAGGACTCAAAAAGTGGTACAGTTTCTYTTCAGTTCTTTACCTTAGGGACAACTTAGGTAACTTAAGGGGGTGTGGGTAGGTACGTAAATCCCCAAAAGAACACCCAGCACTGAGGCTTCAGATCTAGTGAACTTATCTTTCCGAAAAACTGAATGATAGAGCTCGTGCTACTCCTTGAAATCTTTGAATAGTCCTTAAATTGAGAACACGTTTTCAAGAGTATTTGGAAAGTCCTTGAAAATTGATTTACACACTAAAAATCCTGGAATACTTCTTGAATTTATTGAAATTTCCAGTTTTTAAACGAAATGTAAGGAAAGTTATAAGCATTGTAGATGGAACGTTCGTAAACACGAAAGGCGATCTTAAAAAAAGAGGTCCTTGAAAATTGGAATTTTTGTTGTCGAAAAGAACCTTAAACTTTAAGGTTCTTTTCGACAACAAAAATTTTAAAATGAAAAATTAGCGCGGTAAGCAATTGAGGAAACGACTAATATTATGCGCTAACTACATTTTTCAATTTTGTGCTCTAGTTGTATGTGGGGCGTCGTTCGCTGGACTAGGGGAAGCCGTCAGTGATGCKATATCCACGAGTTGTACAGACGCAGACATCGCAACGAGTCAGCAYCATATGAAGGAATTCATAATGTCATGTTGTTTCCTAACCATCAAGGTATACATCAATCTAGTATGGCTGTATTGAATACCGCGAATTTTAACTTTTGTTATGTATCATACAAGCTTCTTATAAGGCTCTCTCGCAATAGCTTTCCGACACTGACAACTTGACACACTTATCTCAACTTGTCTCCAAACTGCGCGACAAAGAGTCCCTGAAATTGTGCGGGCACTCGTATAGAGACTGCGTCTCAAAAAATTCTGTTTCTGAAATAATTTGCCAAAAGTTGTTCTACATCGTGTAGTTCAATACGCAAAAACAACAACAGCAACATCAACAATACCGAATAGCGATAAAACACTACACTGTACAAATTTCAGCAATTTGTGCTTGTTGCGTGGGAAGTTGCTGAGGTATTTGCACAGTTTAAAATCGTCGTTATACTAAGTCGCAAACCGGGGCATCGCCTTAGCTTAGCCCGCCTTTCATCTAAAAGTCCGGATGCAATGGAGGCTGACATTATCTATACCTCTCTGATTACAGTTTGGTTGCCATCTCCTGTCAAGTATTTTCGAAAAGTCTCTTTTGACTGAGCGTGCTCCTTGTGGATCACTGCTGTCCAACGAAACACTAACATCAATAGGGGAAATGTTTATAAAGATTTTTACACAATGCAGGCTTACGGTATGTAGAATCACTACTCGGCCACCTAGACTATCAACTCGTAGTTCACTCGACCTTGTGGTCTAATTGTTAACTATCTTTTTTCCCCAGGGTATATTACTAAGTTGCAAACTAAGCATGATGGCTGTCTGTCGCTGTCTTAGTGGGTCTGACGTAGATTGTTTATTCTCGTTACCAAGGCGATGGATACAAAATGTYATCGATTCTATATCTGGTGACGGCGCAGCTTCCTCGGTTACCAGACGAAGGTACTGCGTTCTTTTAATCGCTCTTTTTAATGGGAAATATCTATTAATTTCAAACATTTGTGCATATCTTCATTCTATACAGTGCCGGACTGCCTGTATTGATGGCTAACATTCTGGCTAGCGAGATGCCCAGTAAAAGATCGCTGACCGCTAAGTATTGCTTTGATGAATTACTAAAAATAGCATTCCAACCTATTCCCGATGTCATCGACCAGACGACGGATCTACCACAGGTATCTCTCATACATCAATTTTTGTGGCTAGTATCTATGGCATTATGCTGTCACGGTTTCATGAGGTTAACCCTCGTTTTTAGGCGTATTTACCGTCCTTTRTGCTAATGACGTTGTCTCTATTTTCTCTAATTGCATCATGGGATAGATAAAAGTATCATATCTAGCAGAGGAATTTTAAAAACTTCAAATCAACATTATTCCTTTTTTCCCGACCCTAGTTAGGAAAGTCATTAGATAAAAAATGGCTACAAACGAAGTTTTTTATAACCAAAGATCTCTTTAGAAAATACTACGTAATGTTTTTGGTAAAAGAGCCTTAATCTCAAGAACAGTGTGTTCTTTCGTTATTACCATAATACATCACATTACATTACTTCATTATAACAATTTTATTATCAGGTTCATGCGATGAATATCCTTCGTTCATTATATCAAGACACGGCCCTTGGTAACGACGTCCTTCAGTTTACCGAACAAGGGTTCATTTTAGCTGTTGACGGGTTTGCTTCTCCTTTATGGTCGATTAGAAACGCTGCTACTCAACTATTTGGTAAGCATGAAAA